CATCACCTGAAACGACTTTTCCAAACCTACTTCAGGAATTCGCTCTTTTTGGTAAGGTCTCTAACTTTAAAATAAACGTTCACAAATCTGAGGCTCTCAACATTTCTGTGCTTCTGCATAAACTTCTGGGTCTAAGATCGTTTTTTCAGTTTACATGGGCAAAGGACTATATTTCATAACTAGGTACTCTTCTTACACCAAACGTTTCTGGGATCTTTGCAGCATACTTTTAGCCTCTAATGTCCAGGGGGAAGTCAGACCTCTTGAAATGACATAATCTTTCCCATTCTTGGTTTGGCAGAAATGCTGTTCTCAGATGTAATATCCTAGGGAGGACGTTCATTCTATTTCAGACACTTCCCCATCTTCATACTGTCTTCCTTTCTCCGAGTTGCGCAGGGAGTTCAGTTTGTCTGGGCTCATTCTTCCTCTCGACTGTTGCACAAATTGCTTGTTGTTCCCTAATCTCTTGTTGGGATGGGGTTTCTGCATCCTATCCATTATAAAGCGACTCATTGATCCAGAGTCCTGGAATGGTGCAGAAATCATGATTCCAAACAATGGATATCATCGAGTGTACCATTGGGAGGGATTTCCTGGTTGGAATCCTCAATCTGTAAATTATTGCTGAGCCATCCCTTAATTGGTGCCTCCTGTAATATCTAAATTGACTAAGCTTCCTGAAAAAAGCTAATTTGCTATTCTCTGCTTCCAATGATGATAATATAATGGTAAGAAGCAATAGTCTTATTTATTTATACAGAAATAGAAATAAACATAGATAAGATAAAATCGATACAAAAGTACAATAAGACAATAAAGAGAATACTTTTACATAGCAAGTCCATCTCATGTGTGATGCTGAACCTCCATGATTGTCATTACACCTCCATCTCCAGCATAATACAGGAAAATAACTACAAACTTCTCTCCCGTTGGTACAGAGTGCCCACGGTTTTACATAAAAGGTTTCCTCAGTCCTCCAGGAGTTGCTGGAGATGTAGCGAGGATGTGGGTGACCTACCGGTAGTACATGTGTTCTGGTCCTGTTAGAAGATTTGTCACTTCTGGACAGAGGTGGGGGAATCTTATCAAACCGTTGATGTTCATGACAATCCGGATGCCTGTCTTGCATGTCTCCGGTCTCTCCAGGAAGCGATATAAGATTGTGGAGATAGAGCATGTGGAGAACCTGACTGCCTCGTTGTACAATCAAGAAGAAAAGTTCAATTGCGCATTGTTTTATTGGCATGATTATGCCCTTTTTCAGGAATACGACTTGGCCTCACAAAGATCTGCTGAGGGGGTGGGGGGATTGGCTGCTCTCCCTCACTGACACTCTTCTTTTTGTGCTTTCTCCCTTTTCCTTGGCTCTGTGTCTCTTGTCTAGTTGCCTCTATCCTTTTGTGTTTTTTCTGTCCTGTTTGTCTTGTGTGTCTGAGTTATGGAGAAGTATATAAAACAACAAAAGTTCTGTCTCGAAAAGCAAGATATCAACCCTTTACTTAGAATTTACACTGGCACTGGGCTACATTGCTTTGAGATTTTAGCTTTATTTTGCCGGTTATGATGTATCAACAAATGTTGGATGTAACATCCTGAATTTGTATGTTTTCATTTGACTCTGTATGTCTTGCTTTTTCAAGATTATAAATAAAGAATAAAAAAAATAAATTACAAAATGGCTTGTGTGGCAATTTGCTATAAATGTTTTCCTTAAATATAACCCAACTCAAATGTTTTAACCAACAGCCAGGTATGGGAGTCAAGGGTGCCCTCTGTCCCCATTTTTGTATTGACTTTCTTATAATAATCGGCTATACGGGGGATTACCATAGGAGCTGCCCAACATAAAATTGCTACATATGCAGATGACATTTTTGTTTTTCCTATCCCAGCCTTGGCACAGGAACTGAAAAAGTTGAATTGTCAAATTTTCTTATCAACCAGTTGAAGTCCGCGATGTTAAACCCCCTTCCCATCCAGGCCATCTTTCATTATTCAGCGCTGCAGTACTTTGACTGACATTTTATTCTGTCATGCAACGCTGTACTGAAATTAATTTTATACCATTTTTTTAGGAACAGATAGAGCTTTCTTTTGGTGGTATTTAATCACCACTGCGGTTTTTAGTTTTTTACTATATTAACTGCCTCCCGGCCGGCCGTAGTAACAAAAACGGCCGGCCGGGAGCTCTCTAGATCTGAGCGGGCGTCTTTAGACGTCCGCTCAGACATGCCCCCTCGCGTGCGGGAAATGGCCAATATTTAAAAACAGGCAGCGATGCCTGTTAATATACAAGCGATCCGCCGGCTGTAGAGTCGGCGGATCGCTTGTATGTTGCAACGATCGTTGCGCCCCCCTCCGTTGTCCCGCTGAGCCCGGGATCAGCGCCATGCCTGTGTAACGGGATCAGAGGGAGATCGTTACACGAGCTCCCTCCGGTCCCCTCTCCTCAAAGAATGCGGAAGTGTTGTATATTACATCACTTCCACATTCTTGTGTCACTCTCCAGCTTCAGAAGCTGATGGAGCAATCTGTGCTTCATCAGCTTCTTTTGGGGGGTCCTAGGTGACAGGGGTCTTGGAGACCCCTGATGTCTCCATAAAGAGGACCTGTCACATATTTTGCTATCACATAAGGGGGTTTTATTAGCCCCCGTATGTGATAGCAATAAAGTTTAGTGGAAAAAAAATTAGTCCCCCGCCAAAATTTTAAGTTACACATAAATTTAAAAAAAATATAAGTCCCCACCCATACATGCATGCAAACATGCGTCAGGGGCGCAAAAAGACGATTGCGCCCATTACGCCGAACATGGTACATATAACCGCGAACGTCGCAGTGAGAGCAATCATTCTAGGGCCATCAATCACTGATCACACTAAACTGATGAGCGGTAAAAGCTTTTAAAGTGTCGCCTATGGCCAATTTTGGGTATGGTAGTTTTCTGCGATGTCGCGGGTGCGCACAATTTTAAAGTTTGACATGTTTGGTGTCTATTTACCTGACATGACCCCGACTTTTATATTTTACCAAAAAACTGGGTAATGTTTCCTAACATAATGTAAAAAAAAACTTTTTCCTAATTATAGTAAAAAAATCCCGTAGTGGTGATTAAATACCACCAAAAGAAAGCTCTGTGTCCCCAAAAAATTGTATAAAATTAATTTCAGTACAGCGTTGCATGACAGAATAAACGTCAGTCAAAGTACCGCAGTGCTGAATACTGAAAAATGGCCTGGCCAGGAAGGGGGTCTAAGCACCTGGTCTTGAAGTGGTGAAGGAAACATTACCGAAATATTTTAAAAAAAAAAAGTTTCCCCTATATTAAATGATAAAACATTTTATTATTACCCAATTTTTTGGTAAAATCTAAAAGACCGGGTCACGTCGGGTAAAAAGACACCAAACATGTCAAGCCTTAAAATTGCGTGCGAAACCTCAAAAAACGAAAACTTTTACCGCATCAATTTAGTGTTATCAGTGATTGATGGCCCTAAAATGATTGCTCTCACTGCGACGTTCGCGGCGATATGTAACATGTGTAGCGCAATTGTCGTTTCCGCGCGCTGGTGCACCGGATGCATATTTACGTTTATATGTACGTGGGGGCGGGGGACTTTTTTATTTTTTTACTGTTTTTTTTTTATAAAATTTTTTTTTTTACACTTATTGATATTGCTATTACATAGGGGGGATAACAATCCCCCCTATATAATAGCACAGGTACACTGACAGGTCCTCTTTATGGGGTCTGTAGGACCCCTAATGTCACCTGGGGACCCCAAAAGAAGTTGTTGAAGCCGAGATCTGCTTCATCAGCTTCTTTTGTCTGGCTATAGCAGCCAGATGACTGACAGGGGAATGCGGAAGTGATGTAATACACATCACTTCTGCATTCTCAGCAAGGAGCTGAACTCCCTCCCTCTTCCTCCTGACGCCCTCAGGGCCGCAGATGGGGCAGCGGATCCCGGGATTGACGGTGAGGGGGGCGGCGGCAGCAGTCGAGGGGGGAGGAGGGGCACGCAGCCAGCAGACATACCGGTAACGGCTCTATGCATTGCACGGGTTTTTTCTGCTCGTGTGCGCGCTGACAAAAATGCTGTTTGGAGACGGCAACCCACCAATGCAGTTGTGCCGTCCGTCCATTTTTCAACGGGCGGACGGCAACTGGTTAATCCACATAAATCGGAATCCCTACATATCTCCCTTTACGGGCTGGCGACTTCGTAGAATTCTAATAAATTTTCCATTTCGATGGGCCTTGCAATCCATTAAATACTTGGATATTCATTTACCTAAAGTTCTTACCAAGGTGTTCTCTTTGAATGTTCTGCCACTCTATACACGTATAGTTTCTGAATGGACTAAACATGCATTTTCATGGATTGGCCGATGTAACATTCTGAAACAGTGATACCAAGACTTCTTTATGTAGTGCAGGCCCTACCTATTCATATTCCAACTTATTTTTTTCGAAGACTCCAGTCCTAGTTTTATAAGTTTTTATGGGCACATAAACCGGTTTAGATTAAGCTATGCGATTTTGAGAAGATCTAAACAAGAGGGAGGTGTTTATACTACTACACCATCCTTTTGACCCGTATTTTGGATTGGTGTCGCCATAATACCGCTAAGCACTGGATTGAAATGGAACAATCGTACTCTGTAGCTCCCTTATCTGGTCTCCCATGGTGCTATGTTTCTGCCTTAATTCCGAAGGAGATTAAAAATGTGTTTGCTTGTGTCCTTTGTCCTGTTTTCATGCAGCTTAATTAGTCTACATTTTTATCTGGTTGGACCTGAGGCCCATTTTATGTCTTCATTTATTTGTGCAAAGACAATGATCTGTAAATGTTTCTTTTTATGTTTTATATTGTATACTTCAAAATATATATATTTTTTTAAATAAACCTTGAACATTAAAGAGTACCACCCATGTTCCGCTATGACCTGCAAATATATAATATTTTTTAAAATATTTTTTTCAATGGTAGGTGAAAGGAAAATGCACAACCGATCATATATCAGCTGCTGGGCCATGGCTGAAATTTAGGGGTCACCTGGACAACATTTCTAACAACTTACTGATTGGTGCCATCAACATTGAAAACAACAAAGCAAACTGTGTAAAGAATTGTGTTACCCAGGAATATGGACCTGTTCCTGACACTGCTCGTTATTACAAGGTAACTTGTGTCTAGTTGGTTCTTTCTGTCTAGTTGGTGGTTTATGTATTTTTGAGTATTATGGGGGATGAGTTGACCAGACAAGGAAAATAACAAAGATGAAGCTTAACTTAGTCCTTTCCCAAACGGCCCCACACAAAAAAAACTAAAATATATTTCCACTTTTGTCACCAAATTTTATATTTGTTAGGCTGGGCACACACCTTACAACCATCACAAGACTTTTTTCTTGCGATGGTTGTAATGGTTGTGAGGGGCGGGTTTCCGATGACCGCAATGCCGAACGGGCAGTGTGCACTTGCGCACACCGGCCCGTCCGGCTTTTATCTTACGAAAATGCTACAGACCCGCCGAACATCGTACGACGCTCCGGGGGTTTTGAAACATGTTCGTAAGTTTAAAGTTCGGCTTCCACACACCTTGCGATAATCGTACGATCGTGGGATTTCCCGCGATTATCGTAAGGTGTGTGGGGACCTTTTACATGTTCCCATTTTCATGGCAAAGTTTAAAAAAAATATGCTCTTTTTCTGAAAATTCCAAAACTGACTTCCATTCTCTGTAATTTCAAGGAGGGATATTGAGCTGGGTGGAGATATGTTTACAAACATGAACTGTACTGGCAGAGCTCATTATTTATATTTGAACTTGTCTTGGGTACACTCTTTAACAATCTGTTCAGAATAGCCTACAGTCTGGCCAAAAGCATCCTCCTAAGAGACAGCTACAAGGTAAGACATTTTTAAAATGAGTGCACACAACATTTAGTGGGGTTTTCTTACATTTAACTGCAAAAGTGGAAATACACATTTTAATACCGTAAATTTAAATCCTGTGGTATGAAGTCATTAGACAATTAGAGGAGCCCTTCTAGTGAATTGGCTGTTTCTATGTATTAGCTAATCTAAAGATGCTGCAGTGTTATTACAGCGTTTTTCCCTATGTGATGTGTGGACAAGTCTTATACACCATACGGAACGTGGAGCCAGGCATTGCCTGTGAAGGTGTAGATCATGAGAAAGGGAATAGAACATTGGCTGGATGTTTGTTGTGGGTGTCTCTTGGAGATGTTACATCTTGTCCCAGCGACCAATGTTGTTAGAACAAAGACAATACAAACTTCACAGAGGTTACTTCTCTCAAAAAAAAAGCAGTATTAAGAAAAGGCAGCTGAGGGTAATGCAACTTGAAAAGGAGTATGCTGCTATCCAGCCCTTCACACTCCCTTCACACTCCCTTCACACTCCCTTCACACTCCCTTCACACTCCCTTCACACTCCCTTCACACTCCCTTCACACTCCCTTCACACTCCCTTCACACTCCCTTCACACTCCCTTCGAGAAGTTCCAAATAGACCTTTTAATCTTTGCCTGATTGAATGGGCTCAACATGCTATGAGATGGACTAAGCAGAGGTACTATCTGAAGGGAAATAAAACTGTGATGATGTTAGCTAACTGAACAGTTTTGGCTCTATTTTCCACCCATAATACTCAAACTCAAAACTAGGACCTAGACATTGACTAGTAATCCTGTCCTTATTTTTTGAGTCAATTTCAACATTCTCTCTAAGCTGTATTCACAGAACTATTCCTTATTGGAAACCAGTGCTGATGAATGCTTTCATATTACCTTGCCTTCTTTTACTCTTTCTACGACCTCTCAGGCTCAAATAACCACTGAGGATCAACTCGCTATCAAATTCTTACAAAGGGCAAGAAAGCACGTCCGGATGGTTTTTAGCTTTGTTTTACAAGAAAATGTCTTTCATTCCCCTGCAGCTAGCTTTGTTTTTTTAATATGGCCTGAAAGGGACATGTTTTTGGTAGGGACATGTTAAGCACCCATGTTGTTCTCCCTAAACCAGGCAAAGACCATCGGCTATAGACAAATTACATCCAATCTCTCGATAAAGATATAAAGTTGTTGGCAACAATCCTTGCTATGCGTTTCACTACTCACCTTGCTCAGTTAATTCATGGTGATCAAGTGGGCTTCATCCCTGCTAAGCAGGTGGGTGACAATGTATGTACAGTGCTGAGTCTGCTCGCTTTAGCTCAAGAAAGGCAACAGGAGTGTTTCTATCCCTGAATATGCAGAAAGCTTCTGATTTGATCTCCTGGACTTATATGTATTATGCTATTCGTAGATAGGGTTTGGTGATCGATTTCTTGCATAGATGCGGGTGTCCTCCAAGGGCTACCGTAGAATTGCCACCCAGCCAAAATTGTTTGTCCTGGCTCCGTTAATCCCTTCAGACCGCAATCAACTATCCAAGTTCTAAACATAAACAACCCCTAAAATTTGAGCTTTGTTCAACTGTAAGTGCACCCACACTTATATCATTTTTTAGAGGACTACTAGGGCTTTCCTTTTGTGATCGAATGTATATAAATGAATCCTAATTTAATACAAATAAAATAACTTTTAATTAAAAAGCCATATAAAACACCCAATGTCGTTATGGCACACCACATGGATAACCCCTATTTAACTAGGGTTGCAACACATCCAGATGGCATATATCTCCTTCCCTGATGGAGCATTACATGGATATGTCCAAATGTACTGTTCCCATGTCCTACGAAGCAGCTGTTTGCAAAGTGCTTTCAATGCAGTGCTTCCCGATTATCTGTTTGAACTTATCCTACTATGCACAAGTTATGTTTCCCTATTTTGAAACGATTGATATTACAGTTCTTAGATCATTCTTATAGTGATGTTTTGGTATGTTAACGTATTCGATTGTCCGGGGGAGTTAGTCAATGTGCCCAGTGGTGTATTTATGTATTTGGCTGCCCTAGGCAAGCCAAGCAATTCGGTAAGCTTCAGATCTCTACGGGTGTGAAACCTTTCCTATACATACAAGAACACTATGACCTACCTACCAGAGAACTCTTTTGTTACCTCCAAATAAAGAACTTTATCCTTACTCATATGCGACATTCCCCCCAGACTGGCCCCCTAAGCCCCTTTGAATGGATTTGCAGAGACAACCCCCATGCTCCCGGAACTATTTCCACGCTATACCTCAGCTTCGTACTACCATCTAATAAAAAATGAATCAGAAGCGCCAAACGTTGACCAACAAATTAAGGATAGTTGCGGGTGAGGATTACTAGGGGTGCTGCCCTACTTCAGCCTGGGAAGCTGCAATACTGTGGGAGAGAACAAAAGAGAAGGGCGCCCACCCTAGTGTAGATTCTTTTTAATATTGTATATATTGAGGTAACAATAAAAACATACTCACAAAAGTGAATCAAGACAGAAGTGTATAAGGTAAGCCAGATTGACATCTGCAACAAGCTGCACAGAAGATTGTGTACAAGCACAGGACTCCTTACGATGACGTGTTTCCGGGGCCACACCCCCTTCGTCAGATCTGGTCCTCTTCCTCACTCTCACAGTAATATATAGGAATGTGTGATGTTGTAAAGCCAATGCAAACTGTTAACCGATGTGCTAGTCCACCTCTCAGGGCGGCGTTACAATTAGCACGGCTGGAATAGCAGTTCTTCTGTCGGCAAACTCCTCTGCTGGAGGTGTGAAGCCGAAGGACCAATCAGCGGCCTCTCAAGTGGAACCCGCCCCTAGTCACTCACACTGTATCAGCCAGCCCGTCTATAGAGACAATGATCCAGGACGGCCAGCATGAGTGGATTGTGTGAAAGGGGGAAGATGGAAGCTGAAGATATAGACATAAGGGCATCAGAGGTCGTATGTACAACTGAAACACTGTGTGTATGAGGGAGAAGACCAGGATTTGTAAGAACTAAGACATACTGAAGACAGGATAATTAGATGCAGTGTATAAAATATATAATGGATATAAAATATATGAAAGAATGGGCATCAATTGTTTCCCATAATATTTTCATAGAACATAACATGATTTGAAAAATTGCTCTTTATTAAGAGCAAAGAGGATCGACTTTTACTGGGCTCTATAACCAGAATAATTTATATTGATAAAATTCAGTGACTTTTAAAACATTCAATGACTGTTAAAAATATAATAAAAATATTTAAAATATATGAAAACATGTATAACAGATTTACTAGTATGTTTCAAGAAATGGCGTTTCAAATATCCAATGGGATATTAATCCCCTTGGGATTCTATTTGGTGTATCAAGGGCTTAGGATATGAGCGATATGAGGACCTCTTACTACCATCTGACCACCCTGCCCCTTCCTACACGTCTCAATGGGAACGGGACCTAGGGTCTCCTCTGGAAGATGCTATGTGGCAACAATCCTGGCTCAACACGAAATCTAGCTCACGCTGTGTCAGTATGTTGGAGATCAATTACAAAGTATTATTGCGATGGTACCCGCGAGGATTGCTAAATTCAGACCCCAATCTTCTCCATTGTGCTTCCGAGGATGCCTGGACAAAGGCATCTTCTTTCACATATGGTGGCAGTGCCCCAAAGCTGCTAGGTATTGGGATCGGGTATTTAACATACTCCCATCTTTATTCCAACGCTCCATGAGTAAAGACCCCACCTTCGCCCTTCTTAACTGTAAACCGGTAGGTCTCCCTAGAACCTCATTCAAATTAGGCCTACATATCTTGACGGCAGCCAAACGAGAAATAGCAAAATCATGGTTATCCAACTCGCTCGGCATTTTCAACCTCAAGCGACACGTACATTGGACGATGTCGCATGAAAAGCCGACGGCTCAAAACGAAAACGCTATGCAGAAATTTGAGAAAATATGGTCCACCTGGATTGACATGTTTACACCCCCGGACATCAGCCATCGCCTCCTGACCTTTATGATGGGGGAACACTATATTAGTCTTATAACACCAACCCTCTTCCTGCTCGCAGCCTGACTTTCCTTTTCTTTTCACCCCTCTTTTCCTTCACCGCTCACTGTTCTCCCTTGATCTTCCCCCTCTGTCATCACTTGTACTCCTGCCATATTGTACATCGAAACCTGAAAAACACACTTCTACCACCACGCTGAACTACCGCACACCCTTAATGGGT